GGAATGGAGATTTTACAGTATCCTTCCCCTGCCATGCCCACCAAGCTACGCCCACCAAGCCACACCCACAGAACCGATAGTAAAAAAAATTGAATCCCACCACTGGCCCAAGAGTGGGGAGATACAAACTCCAAATTCTCACCATGAACTTGGATAACCTTGGTCCTCTAACTCTCTCAGCATATTTATTTATTTCATTTATTAAATTTAAATGGTGCCCATCTCACAATCAAGCAACTCTGGGTTATTTTCCTCCCAGAGTCCCACTGAAGAGAAAAATGTTACATGCTACCCTGAACATTCCTGCAAAGAAATAGAATAAATGAATGAAATCATTTGAATACATATGCAATGCAGGTAGTCCTCGATTTACAACAGTTCATTTAGTGACTGTTCAAAGTTACAATGGCACTGAAAAGAGTGACTTATGACTGTTTTCCACACTTACGATTTTTGCAGCATCCCCATGGTCTTGTGATCAAAATTTAGATGCTTGGGAACTGACTCATATTTAGGATGTTGTTCTGACCCAGCTCCCCAAACACAAAAAACCCTCTGAAGTTAACTCAAAGATTCCTTTATTAGGAGCACCGGCAGCCCTGGCAAAAAGTTTCTCTCTCAACTCAAGCTAGGAAGTCCATCCATCTGGAAGGTGAATAGCTGTCTGCCACATCTATTCATCTCTGCCCCCTGCCTTTTATTCCCAGAGCTAGGGTGGGGCTTCACTAGCAGTGGTGGCTCTTCCTTCCCAAGGATTGGCCCATGGATTTCCACTGCTCTCCTCTCCTCTGCCTTCTGCGCATCCGCGTGTCAGGAACTGGACCCAGCTGTTCCTTTTCTTCCTCATCAGCCACCTCCAGACCTGGGGGCAGTTGACTCTCCATCTGAGGGCTGGTGGACGGCCCAGGCTCCGCCTCTTTCTCTCTGCCAGCTCCATTCCCTCTTCCCCCTCAGAACTCTCAGATTGCCTTGATGCTGACCCTGATTCCCACGCCTCCTCGTCCTCTGATTTGGCTGCTAGAGGGGCTGGCGGCCGACAGGCCACAACAGATGTTTTCAGTGTCCTGGGGTCATGTGATCAGCTTTTGTGACTTTCTGACAAGCAAAGTTAATGGGAAAACCAGATTCACTTAACAATTGTGTTACTAATTTAACAACTACAATGATTCACTTAACAACTGCGGCAAGGAAAGTTGTAAAATGGAGCAAAATTCAATTAATAAATGCCTCACTTAGCAACAAAAATTTTGGGCTCAATTGTGGTCGTAAGTCGAGCACTAACTGTAAATCACCATCATGTAGCAGTTACTTAACATAACAGATCATGGGTGTCCATGAGGTATATAAATGTGTGTGTCAAAATAATCAGGAGGGTGGCTGCAAATATATAACTGAATTGCCACTTCCTTTTATATGTATTGAATACATGATGTGTGTGTGTGTGTGTGTGTGTGTGTGTGTGGAGTTTTATGTGGTTGTGACCATTATCTTATTTTTTTTTAAAAAAAGAAATTCCCTCTCTGTGGACAATTCTATACCAGACTTATTCTATGAATTTACCACCAAATTTATATACAGGAATAGGAATTCTGCTTGCTGTGCATATGTAAAAAGGTACAAACTGAAGTGGCCAATTGGGATACTATAACATTTATTTATCTGCATCTGACACAATAACATTTCAAAGGCTCATGGATGTTTTTTTTTTTTTTTTTTAAGAAAATCTGGCAGAGATGCATAAGATAAATAGACACCGGCTTCTCCAATAGTAGAGAAAAAAAACCTGCATAAACTGTACAATGAATTATCTTTCTGTTGAAATCTGGAATAGGTATCTGCTGATTTGTGACTAATGTTAAGGCCTAAGTTATAATGGCTCTCAGTTATATTTCTAGCAACTCACTAAACTGAAAATGGATATATGATTTCTAGGGGTTTTCGATACAGTTTGAGATGATCATGGTGTCTGTAGAGTTAAGGCTTTGTTAAAGGCTGACCTTTCAGCAACATAACAACAAGCTATTTGAATCTCAAATAGCTTTGAGATTCATGAGGTTATTGCTGATCTCAGATATTGGCAGGAAAAATATGTATATTGGAGTCCCAGGGCTGTGGATGGAAATGGCATAGAGAAATTCTGATATTCTCTTCACACTTCTCTAAATAAGAAAGCTTAAGCTGTTTTGGTTCTGAGTTCTAATCCTATTGCGCAGCTGATCCATTTTAATTTAAAATTAACAGTCTTCTTGGCTTTATGTGAAATTACGCTGATCTCAAGAGGTTACTTTGCTCATAACCTTAAGCCCACATTTACCTCATAGTCCCTGTGTAGGATGTGTCTGAATTGTGTATTTCTGGATTGCTTTTATGATGCTGTTACTTAGAATGTCTAAGAGTACATGCTTACTTAGTTTAAAACTTTTTGTTGAGGGAAATGTAAAACAAAGCATAGTAACCAGAAAAATGAGGCTTATAAAGTTGGTACTGTAGGTGGATCATGATTAGTGTGAATTTGAATCATGCAATATTTGAATTGGTGCAAACTATAAATTGAAACCAGACTGCATTTAATGAGACCCAAAATTCAGTTAATGCACATGTAGTAAAGTTAGTGCATGGTTGTAGTTGGGTTTTAATACGCTAGTTATTTCAAGTGTGCAAAATGAAGCACAGGAAGATTCCCTCAGAGGAAAACAGTACAAGTTTAAAAGTAGAAGCAGCTCATTATTAAATTCAAGGAAAAAAATGATGTAATTGAATGACGTGAACGTGGTCACAGCAACGCTATAAGAGGATGGGAAAGTTAGAATGCCTGAATCTACAGTAGAAATTTTTTGTTTTATTTTGCTTTCTATAAGTATGCTGTGACATTGTTAACCATAACTTTAAATTATAAATATATTATTTTCCTCCTTTCCTGTAATAGATCATTAATACAAATGTTAAAAATTATATTTACATTTTTATTGCCTATTTTCTGAATCATACCGTAGTTCTCCAGTTTTGCAGGGTACTTTTTAAAGAAAAATAAAATCTCAAAGATTGGATAAATGAAGGCAGAAGTTGCCTCTTCCCAGATCTTTTTTGTTTGGGTGGTTTAGGGGCGGGGAATTTGTGGTGGGTGGGGGTATGTTTGGGGATTGTTATGTGTGTTGGACCTGGTCTTTGGGTGTTAAGTGAATTTCGTTGTATGGGTATACTGTGTATATATGTACAATTTTTTTTTTTTAATTTGATTTATATGCCGCCCTTCTCTGGAGACTCAGGGCGGCTTACAATGCGTTAAGCAATAGCCTTCATTCTTTTGTATATTTTATACAAAGTCCGCTTATTGCCCCCACAAACTGGGTCCTCATTTCACCTACCTTAGAAAGGATGGAAGGCTGAGTCAACCTTGAGCCTTGGAGAGATTCGAACCAGCAGAAATTGCAGGCAGCTGTGTTAATAATAGGGTGCACTAAACCACTGTACTATCAAGGCTCTTTCAATGACAATAAAATTATTATTAATATTATTTTATTTATTTCATAAATCTCTCTCTCTCTCTCTCTCTCTCTCTCTTTCTCTCTTGTTTTACATAGAGAGCTGGCCTCTCAGCCAGCCATGTTGGCTGGGGAATCTAGGAGTTGAAGTCCACAAATCTTAAACTTGCCACGTTTGGACACCCCTGTTCTAGAGAATCAAATAAGTGCATTAAACATTGCCAGTACATAAGGCATCAGGTTTCCCCCCTCAATTTCCTGAAATCCTATCCCACAATGGACTCTGGTCACGTCTTCTTTTGGACAGTAGCCCTTCACAAAAAGGCTGATATGATCCTCAAGTCAACTTCTAAACGCCTTCAAGGTCAGCTAGTATTCTTGAGACTCCAACATGTAGAACATCAACTTAATCAGAAATATCATAGATCTTAGTGATCCATATCAGATCTTAACTCCAGAAACGCCTACAATTTTGAAATCAAGACTTTGATCATCCTGGGTGGGATGAAGGTGACTGAATGTAGGGATAAGTATGGTTCTGTATGATTGTTGGAAGAAGAAATGGAGAACAAAACCAATTCTGTAATAAGCCTGACTAGGTGGCTCGGTGGCTAAGACACTGAGCTTGTCGATCAGAAAGGTTGGCGGTTCGAATCCCTAGTACAAGTCTCCTGCATGAGCAGGGGGTTGGACTAGATGACCTACAAGGTCCCTTCCAACTCTGTTACTGTTAAATGTCCCCATTGGCCAACTGCTGAAATATTGAGGAAAAGCACTCCACACAGGGGTGGGCTGCTGGGGGTCCGCAGGGGTTCGGGAGATTCTGTTCAGTTCAGAGAACCCCCAAATCCCACTCCTGGCTGGCCCCACATACCCCTCCCCCCCTCCCACATGGCCCATTTTAGATGCAGATAAGTGCAGGGCGCGCGTGGAGGCTTGGGAGGGCGAAAAACAGGCCTACCTGAAGTTCGGGCCTCCGGAGCCTGGGGGAGGCCATTTTCACCCTCCTGGAGGCTCAAAGAAAGCCTCCAGAGCCTGGGGGGGCAAAAATGCCCTCTCTGCCGTGGTGTAGGAGGCTGACTAGGCCACGCCCACCCAGCAACTGGGCAGAGAACCCCTTGCTAAAATTTTTGAAACCCACCTCTGACTCCACATTCTAATATCATACACTTAAACAGGCTGTATTGTTGAAATCCATTTGCAGTCATCTTACCAAAATGTCCTTGATTCCAGGTCAGAGAATAACATTCAACTGGGCTGGTAATTGATTATGCAATTGTTCATATTTTTATGCCTGTGTTCCATGACACCCTAACATTTGTTCTCAGCCCTCCTTTCTAATGCTGAACGCTCTGAACACAGCTACTGCTGCCGTCTTTGCTCACTGATGTTTTATTTTCCCATTTGTGTAATGAAGGGAATAAGTTAGTGTGACAGGCCAGTTCATTCAGTGAAGTAAGGATCACCATTGGTTACAGTATTTATTCCAATGACACACTGACTTCTTCTCTTCTTTAGGAATTGAGGCCACGACTGAGCTTGGGGAACATACATCAGCCACAGCTTCAACAAAGGATATAGAGTCTTTCCCCCAGTGGAGAAGAATCTACCACATTTTATTGTGCAAGTCAAAACAACTGAATAAAAAACCTGGCAAATTATGCAGAAGCTATATTTTTGGTGGATTTTCTTTCAATGTGAAAAAATGCAGGTAGCTGCAGAGAGTGAAAGTTATTTCAGTTTCTTTCCCGGTCTTCCATTGGGAGAGTTTCACATATTCATTCATTATTGTCCACATACTCATTCAATACTGTCTGCTATTGTTTGAATTAATCTACATATTTTTTTTAAAACAAACAGAATTGAGAGTTGGGTTTAAATACTATTTACAAATCTTTTCTTAAATATAAGTACATTATCTATAAATGGATACACTTATGTGAAGTAGATTTTATATGGATTTTTTATAGTGGATATGGTATATAAATACAAAGACCTACAATCTACCGTATTTTTCAGAGTATAAGACACACTCCCCCCTCTAAAAGAGGCTGAAAATTTGGGTGTGTTTTATACTCTGTATGTTGCTTTTTTGAAGCTTTTTTCAGCCCTAACAAGGCGCTAACGAGTGAAGCAATCTTCTGCGCTTAGCCTGCTTTTCTCATTGCTTCTCTCTCCAAAGATCAGCTGTGCTTTAGAAGCTGTTTTTCAGCCCTAACAAGTGCTAGCGAGCGAAGCAACCTTCTGGCTTCACTGCTTTTCTCATTGCTTCTCTCTCCAAAGATCAGCTGTGCTTTAGAAGCTGTTTTTTATCCCCAATGCTCAAAACCAGTGATCTAATGAGCTGAAGCTGATCAGATTAAGGACGCTAGCCAGATGAATACCTGGTAGGCAATTTTTTTCCCTATTTTCCTGTTCAAAAACTAAGGTGCGTCTTATACTCCAGTGCATCTTATACTCCGAAAAATATGGTTACTGTTCCAATTTGAATTTTTTCTAGAAAGTATAAATCATGATGGTTCTCTTCCATATAGAACCAAATCCGCAAGTGTTGTTAGATACAGGACTACAAAAGTAAAAACAAATTAGATATAGCATCTCCACAATCCAAGACCTGCTTATTTTCCACCTATTATGGTGTATATCTTCCTATTTTTATTTTTTTTGGTCAGAAAAAGCATGGGATGTTTTCTTCTTTTATTTTTGGGATATGCTAAGATTCAGTAGGTTCTGATTTTGCTCAGCCACCTCAGAAGCCCAACAGATGACCCTTTGAAGCAGATAAACAAGGGATGAACAAACAAGCACAAAAGAACAAATGAAATCCAGCTAGAAAAAGGATTTTTGCATGAAGCAGTGGCAAGAAAATTGTATAATCCAAATGCCTTATTAGAGAATACTGTAAATAGATTCTCCTCTGTAAATTTTTCTTTAAATGTACAATATTTTTATATTCTCTCATCAATGAAGCATTGAATTTTATATTACGTATTCTCTGACCAATCGAACATCAAATGTTTCATAACTATATTGGCATAGAAAAATCTTTGATTTCTTTACCTGACAAGTTGTCTAGAAAAATTAATTCATATATTTAATAGGGTTTGAGCATCTTCAAGAATAGCAGTCTTCAGTTTTAGCTGCATATTTTGGTCCTATTGTATTTTGAATTACCAACCATTTGTAGAAATGAAAAATAATGAACGCCGTCTGAATAAATTTAATTGATTGAGTCTCAGATTGTATCTATGAGTTTTTAAGCATGTTGGCATTTACTGTACATGAAATGAGCACTTTGGGTTCACATGCAGAGAAAGAAACGAATCAATGAGGTGTTGCCATTTGAAATGTTAATCATAGTGGTTCAGTGGGGATTCAGATTTGTTCTTCAGCAGCTTATATTGGAGATGCAATACTGTCAAAATATTGTGTGATCAATACTGGGAGGGTAATTGGGCTCTTCACCAGACTCAGTAGTTAGAATGCAGTATTGCAGGCAAACTCTGCCCACAGCCTGGAGTTCGGTCCTGAGGGGAGCTCAAGGCCTTCCATCCGTCCGAGATTGGTAAAATGAGGGCCTACATTGTTGGGGACAATACGCTAACATTGTAAACTGCCCACTATGGGGCAGTATATAAGTCTAAGTGCTATTGTTATTTCAGTCTGTAAGCTAGTGTATGTCCAAAGCATTTTCCAAACTCCAGTGCTGCATTAAGATACTAGTTTTGCTCAGAATGTAGGTAGACAAAAGTACCAAAGAAAACTAGGCTGCCAAAGAACAGAGTGGCTGGGCGCCATCAAAGCTGACACCAAACAGAACATAGAAAAACTCAAAGAATTAGTACAAGATCGGAGAATGTGGAAAGACCTGGCCCATAGAATCATCAGACACGGCTGAATGGAATAGGAGCTGCAAGATTTCATATTCGCATCCTTGAAATGAAAGCAACACTACAAAGACTTATATCTAGTAAATCTACTGGATTCCAATTCCCCCAAAGCCTAAATTGTAATACTATTAACATTTACCTAGGATGATATTGCATTGAATCAAAAAATGTTTAAGATTGTACCATAAGAAATGTATTACATCTTAAAACTTTCAGGATCAAGTGTCCATTTCCTTAGATGAAACATAAATGGCATTTTCCATTTATAATAATGGGATAATTGCATATTAATATAAAATGTCTTCTTTAAGCATCACCCACACCCCACCCCACCCCACCTCAATCAACCAGGGCATTTTGGCTCATGTTTGCTGATTAATAGATTTATTCATCAATGTTCATTACGCTCAAGTGCAAAACCTACCTTGAAATAACTGAGGCATTAATATTTCATTTCTTGAAAGTGTTTCCATTTAAGAATCACTTCTGGAAAGTACTTCTAAAGGAAATTTCCATATTTATTCTTTATTTTATTGGCCAAGTGTGATTGGACACACAAGGAATTTGTCTTGGTGCATACGCTCTCGATGTACATAAAAGAAAAGATACATTCGTCAAGAATCATAAGATACAACACTTAATGATAGTCATAGGGAATTTACAGAATATGGACTCAAATTGTCCTATTCAAGGAAACTGTAATCATTTACAGTTTTTTTAAAAAAGTAATATATGAGTTCGTCTGTTCCTGGGAGCTGTTACTTTAAAGCAGTGGAGGTTAAAATTTTGCAGAGGGAAAACAAATACTTGAAGACTGAAATTTCAGAAACATATCTTATGGGAGATCATCAGAAGTTTGGTGCAGCAACAAGAAATATGATATGGCATGTCTGGTTGGAGTGCTCCTTTCTAGAATACAGGTAGTCCTCGATTTACAACAGTTCATTTAATGACTGTTCAAAGTTACAGCGACACTGAGAAAAGTGACTTATGACTGTTTTTCACAGTTACAACCTTTGCAGCATCTCCATGATCATGTGATCAAAAATCAGATGCTTGGCATCTTGTTCATATTGATGAACATTGCTATGTCTCAGGTTCATGCGATCCCCTTTTGCAACTTTCTGACAAGCAAAATCAATGGGGAAGCCAGATTCACTGAACAACCGGGTTACTAACTTATCAACTGCAGTGATTCACTTAGCAACCGAGGCAAGAGAGGTTGTAAAATGGGGCAAAACTCACTTAACAAATGTCTCATTTAACAACAGAAATTTTGGGTAAGTCGAGGACTATCTGTACTCCAGGGGTGTCAAACTCGCGATGACACGTCGTCATACAACGTATCACAACTTTTCCCCCCTTCGCTAAACCGGGAGTGGGAGTGGCCAGCGCATCACACATTCGGCCCGCGAGCCATGAGTTTGACACCCCTGCTGCACTGTATGTCGCCCTGTTTTTCATTTTCTCCCAAATGTCATGCTAAATGCATTCAGTCCTCATAAGATGGTTCTGTGTGTCCTTCTTTTATTTTCTTTTTTCATGATTGCCTTGTACTGTAGGGATCTCCATCATCAACATAGATGCTCCCTTTTTAGCTCTAAAAAAGTGGCATTTGTGATCTCTGTGGCTGTGCTTAGTATATCAGATGATGCTTTGCTCTTTTTACCACAAAGAGAACATTGCAGGAACAGCTGTTAGTTTCACATTAAGATTTTAATGACACTGTATTTTTGGCTTGTTCCGAGAAGGAGTTGAAAGTTGCCAACATCTCTGCCAAACATTAAAGTAGTGATTTTTGGAAAGTCAGGTCTTAACAAGTAGGCTGATATCGGTCAATTCTTCAGCTAATTTTATGCCAATGAGTTCTCTTTTTTAATTTTTTCTAATTTAAACAATTTTCTAATTGTTCTGATAATGTTAAATTTAAATTGCACCTGCCTGTGGGAATTATTCATTTGTTGCATTTCTGTTCTGCCTTTTCTCTGCATGCTCCTGGAAAGATGGATGGGGCCACGTTTAATTAAATCTCGCCAAGAACTTTGTGATGAGGGTTGACAGGGACTTGAATGCAAATCTTCCTATCCCATTAACTGATGCATTGCATTGCATATCTTATCACTGATGTCTTGAGCATAATAGAGTATAATTATTGCATAATTATAAAATATTGCCTGACTATGAAAGACCCATGGACCATTTCAATTTTCTTCCTTAACTTCCAAGAAATCCTCCCACTCTGTCTGCTCTTTTAGCTGCAACAAGTATTTTTGACACAAGAATGTTTATAAAGATTCCAATTTAAATAATTTGTAAAAGGAATTACGTTCCGTAGAAGACTAGCTTCTTAGCAATAAACATTAACAGAACGAATTTTACATTCCATATTTTCCTCTTGTTTTATATTGGAAAATGATTGCATTTTCCAGAGCTGATCCGTGAGGGAACATATGCTGCTTGGTCAGCACTGATTATTCTGATTGAAATATATGAGTTTACAATGAATAGCATTGTTTTGAATGATGCAAAACTAGAGGGAAGTGCTCTGTGTATGATTCAGTCTGCTTTGGTGCATTCACTCATGCTAGCCACCACTTGAGGATTGAGAACTAGCAGTGATGCAGGTATGTAAAAATGGGCAAGGTCCAGATACCAGAGAATGCCAGCTGACATGGGAATCTAAATAGATAGACTGATAGATAGATAGATAGATAGATAGATAGATAGATAGATAGATAGATAGATAGATAGATAGATGAGATAGGTAGGTAGGT